CCTTCTAAGATCACATTATAACCCATGTTGCCATCTACCACTTCAAACAGAGTGGTTTTCGTTACGCCTTCGGCATGTATTGGCAATAGGATTTCTCCCCGGATCGTTACACTAGTTAAGTTAAACCCAGCTAGAAGCTTTATTGCCGGAACTATGTTTCCAGTTAACTTTGCTTGCTCCAAAACTCTCCATTGTATGATGTTGGCTGAACTTCCTGGATCAACCAACACACGTTTAATTTTAAAATCTAAAACATTAAGAGAAATTACTAGAGCATCATTGTGCGGTAGAATAAGTCCATCAGCATCCTCTTCTGTAAAGGTGATGTCATCTTCTGAAACATTTCGGATCCTCTTTCCATGAGTTACCGATATCTTTGTCTTCTTTGTTGCCGAAAATGTCACCCCATTTACTTTGTCTCCACCGAAGATCATGGTTATCGTCATATGAGGTGACCCTGTAGTTGGTTTTGATGGTTCTGCGACATCCCAATTTTCCCATAGTTGCTCTTGGCCCAGTCGCTTAAAACCTCTCTTAGGTGACCATTCTTCATCAATATTACTACCTCTTTATGAAAGTGTCGGCAGTCCCGGTCCTGTAGCTGTGACTTCCATGAAACTCACACTATATATTAGGATCCATTTGGCTAGGATACGATCAGATTGGTTTTGGGAACCTAGCTTCTTTAATATTCCTCATAACCGAAACTTATTCTACCAAGTTGATGTTAAAGTTGTAGTCGAATAACCTGGGATATGTTAAATCTCGGGATCCCGATGCCTCTTTCTCCTGCAAAGATCTGCTACTTCAACCACGATCCGTCCTTTTATCGGAAGTGAACCTATGTGATGACTGAAAACCTTTATTTCCTCGCCCATAATCCCTTTTGTAAGGTTGAAAACGACTCATAGAGGACCTCCAATCTGCATCAAAATCGCTTTTTAATTTATCCTCATTCCGATCATGATTTTGTCCTTTGGAAGACACTGAAGAACCCAATTGATCATCTTCTATTCTGATCTTTGACTCGTAGTGATTGTGAACATCTGCCCATGTGGTTGCTTGAAATTTTAGCAAGCTTTCCTGGAGGTATCGAAACTCAACAGGTTGAGACCCTTTGTAAATGCCTCCGCTTCTCACTCATTCGATACTGCCGGTAATAGCATCATTTTCTTCTAAAATTGGATCACAAACTCTCGCAATATTTTGAATTCTCCTTGGGATATTCTGAATATATCCGCCTTCCTTTCTTGGACCTTTCTTTCTCCAACATGAGCTTTAATAAACGAATCTGTAAGTATTTCAAAAGAATCAATAGAATGCTCAGGTAAAAGAGAATACCAAGTTAAGATACCATTCGTCAAGGTTTCGCCAAATTTCTTCAACAAGACAGATTTAGTCTCGTGCTGGGCCAGGTCATTTCCCTTTACATCCGTAGTGTAGGCCGTGATATGTTCTTGTGGATCCGAAGTCCCATCATACTTAGGAATATTTGGCATCTTGAATCTTTTCGAGATTAACTCTGGGGTCGCACTTGGTTTGAATGGCAACTGCGTATATTAATCTGGTCCCTTTAACACCAGCGGTGCTCCCGTGATCTGATCCATCCGAGCATGAAATTCTTTAGCTTTTTGGTTCATTCGTTCATTCATTTCCCTCATGAATCTCATGAGCTCGATTTTGAAAGGGTCGTTTGCGTTGTTGTCATTTCTAGATCCACTATCGATACCTCCTGCCTCGTTAAAATCGAACTCCTGTCTTGGAGCGTCATTACCGGTTCTTTGAACTGTTTGATTTGTAGGGACGCTGGGAGGAATCTGAGCTCTTCCATTAGAATTTGTGGAAGCACCCGTTAATACCTGTTTCAACTATGTCATCACATGATCTTGTCTTGAGAGGTGATCCATAATTGCCCTTTATTGCTCTCTCAAGATTTTGACCGTTTCAACTACATGTTCATCATCTGCATCATTAGGAGTTGGACTCCTCACATGTTGAGGATTTTGACCTTCACGAACTGGAGTTGTTTCATCTCCTTCATTGCGAGTTTCGCTGGTTGAATCATCACGTTAAAACATATCCTCATGTTCATTGTGTGCTCCAACGTTATAGGAATTGTTGATATCGTTAGCTGTCATATCTGATTTTTCTTTTGCTAAGAAAGGAATCAAAATTTGTTAGTAACATATGAATAGACGGTGAGCGTCAAACTATTTACCCGTAAAACAGTACTGTTGAATTTGTAACGTGGTTTATAGACACGTGAATTAATTTGACCTACAAATATAAAATAAATGAGAACAAAAATAAGATTATAAAATAAACTTTAAAGGAAATACAAGCGTGACTATGAATTTAGCTTCACTAGTAGCAAAAGCGAGAGCAAATTAAGAACAAAGTAAGAGAATAGTGTTATAGAATGAGAGCTGATTTTAGCTTTTGTGTACAGAATGTTTCATGTCCTATATGAGTTACTAATTCTCCTATTTATAGCTCTATTTAGGGAGACAAGATTCCCAAATCAAGCTCCTGTTAACGAGAATAAAACCGTCATTGATGGTTGCATGGCGATTGGCTATAAATGCAGATATTCTCTGTAACGGCTGCTCATTGAATGCCATCCGATATCACCTCTTCAAATCTTTGTTATTGGTTCCCATATCTTCGGAATTCATCCAGTATCGGTCACATGCTTGTATCCGGTGCCAACTACTTGCTGACTCATATCTTACCGGTCTTTAGTTCCACGTATCATTTCATCATTTGTCCAGCTATCGCTAACCAGTTTTACCCCATGCAAAAGTATTTACGCGAATACATATTAGTTGTACTAGCAAAAGAATTAGGTATCTTTGTATACTAAGAATGACATGGGTCAGTGTTACTTCCGAACCTTTAAGGTGTTGAGTACCTATTAAGAAATAACATTAATCATAGAAATTATTTGACTAGATTATCCTTTGTATCTCATCAAATTACCCTCTATTTCTCCTTACACTTCATATATCATGTAATGGAATAAGGGTATATTTGAAAAGGATATTTAATGTCTTCTTAATTTCCAAAAGAGACTTTATTTTTGGACCAAATTGAGTTGGCTAAAGAGACACTTTTTTGGACCGAAAATAGTAATTTAGCTGTGAAGGTTAAGGTCAATATCCCTCATAGATTCTTTATTGGTGTTTGCTTCAAAGTTCTGAGAAAAAATTTCAAAGATTTTTTTTTCCTGCTTATTTAAGCTAAAGCAGCTTTAGAGTAGGAATACACGTATCTTAGCAGATTAAGGTATTACTATTAATTTGCTTCCAGCTTTCTTATTTTGTATGTAAAATGAGAATGTAAAATAAAGATATCCAGCTTTAATGTGTGTATAAAACCAAAAGAAGCTGCAATATTTTATTATGTTTAGCAAATGATGGTGGTATGTCCCTTGCTAGCTAGGCTGCCATTAGCTTTCTCTGATTTTGACATTGGACTAGTGCAAAAGTTTGACAACCCCATATCACTGGAAAGGGCTAATACCTCAAAAATATTATGATGTTCTTGTGCAAAAGTCATTGGTCATACTGATTCTCCAAAGCTGGTCTGCACGAAGATAAACGTGCTAACATGAAATGCTGGTCATCTTTCATAGAATAATGGAGGTAATTAAGGCTAGCTACCACAACGATCTGTTAAATTATATGCCCAAGATGGTAAATATTAATTCTGAACTTGATGTTTCTTTTTGTTCTGAAAATTTGACGATATGTTTATTTCCTTTTCTCCATTTGCATCCCTGTCAAGGTTTAACCGTTTAAACTAGGTTCTGAAAAAGAGACTCCATTTACATATAGTGATTACATCTAGCCATTGGATATTCTTTGGCTCGCTTAACATTTGACAACTTTAAAGGGAGCACGCCTATTTATAGAGAAAAGTATCTCACTCAGGTTCTTATTTCTTTCACAAAAGAGTTGCAGCAACCTCTAATAATGCTTGTTCGCAATGAGGTACATTTATCTCCCAATAAGTAATTGATTGGGTGCCTCGTCCGTGTCTATGCAAACTCTACCACACTGCCCGTGTTGTCTTTGTACCATCATATCCAAAATTCAACACCACATTCCTTGTGTGTATTAGAGTCCACCTTCCATTGGGGAATATATAGAGTCAGTGAGAGAGGGTGGAACCAGGATTCGAAGTTTATGGGTTTTGAATTTTCACCGAACCCGTAACTCATTTTAGTTATGGGGTTCCCCGTTAAATATTTATACATATTTAGTGAATTTTCTAATACAAAATACAAATACATAGTTTAAGCAAAACCTACTAGATTCATCCGAACCCGTATCTACTTCTCTAGCTCCGCCTAGACAAGGATGCGACACCCATGTTCTCCAAGCCATCCAATCCTTAGAGTTAGAACTACTAATTCGCCATTCATGATAAACCCATATCCATCTTTGGTTGCTCTGAAGATGATATGCATACTCCAGTCCTAATTCAGATGATGTGCTCCACAAGACCACAACTCACCTACACAAACATGCTGGACATGTAATTAGAAGCAGCTTCTGGGCCATGAAACTTCTTGATTTCGATGATATCGAGATGCATAGCGCATGCCAAGTAAAATCTTACAATTTTCTTAATCCTTTTCGTTTGGTTTCAGGAATTCTACCCTGTTTTTCTTTTCTTTTTCTTTTTTCTATTGGTTTTTCTTTTATGTTACAATTAAAACATTACAATCTTCTCTTAATGGCAGAGGTGTGACTTATTCGATTTAAAAAATAAAAATAAAAAACCAACTCAGCTGCTAGCAGCATGACGGTTATGTTAGTTCCAGGATATATTTAAGCACCCATGATTTCCTGCACAGCAAGCCGGTTGAATTGGTATAAAATGCCAACTGAACAGAAGACTGATTCCTACGTTGTCAACTTGTCATAATTACTCCTTATTCTTTAGGCTTTTTCTTAAAGTTTCGGCTTGGGACAAAGTTAAAACTACTAAAATCATAGTTAAATGCTTCACTGCAAAGTTTAATTTTAATCTCACATCTGAAAGAATACAAAAGTTCCAACTCTAAATTGATGACTGTCTCTATACATGTCTTCCAAGAATGAACAAGAGGAAGGTTCTTTTGCCGTCCTTAATTAATCAATTTAGAATAACCAACTCTAAAATTGATCAATGTGCCTCATCAACGTCTTCCTCCTCATCTTAATCTATTTCTGATAGTCACTGTCAACAGGAAAATTATATGAGAAAACCCTGTGTATCCTATCACTTGTGATAACATAAAACTTGTAAACTAGCAATCATCTACAGCTCGTCATGATCATCATCCTCGCTAGCACCTGATTCTCCTCCCGGTGCTCCACCAGACTTCTGATACACCGCAGTGATTATTGGGTTGCACACAGCTTCCACTTCTTTCAGCTTTTCCTCATAATCTTCCTTCTCAGCACTCTGGTTGTCGTCCAACCATTCAAGCGCTTCTTTTGTCGCGGTTTCAATCTTCTCTTTCTCATCAGACTCTAGCTTGTCTGCAAGCTTGTCCTTGTCATTTATTTGGTTCCTCATATTGTATACATATGTCTCCAGGCTGTTTCTGGCATCAATTCTTTCTTTTACTTTCTTATCCTCCTCTGCAAACTCCTCAGCCTCCTTGACCATACGCTCAATCTCTTCTTGACTCAAGCGACCTTTGTCATTGGTGATTGTGATCTTCTCTGATTTTCCAGAGGCTTTGTCTTCAGCTTTGACATTTAGAATACCATTTGCATCAACTTCAAATGTAACCTCGATTTGAGGAGTTCCTCTGTTGAAAACATATGAAAAAATTTAGTCAAGCAGGCAATAATATTATTTAAGTCAAGCAGGCAGAGCAGCTCATTGGACATCTCAACTAGGTGCAGTTAGACAAGTACCTTGGAGCTGGAGCTATTCCGGTTAAATCAAACTTCCCCAGCAGTCTGCAGTCCTTTGTGAGACTGCGTTCACCTTCAAAGACCTGAAGGTAAGAATTTTCATGTCAGAAGAGTCCAGTCATAAGTCATCTCTTGAGACTTCCACAACACTTTGAGCTCACTAAAAAAATAGTTCTGAGGAGATACCTGGATTGTCACTGTTGTCTGCTGATCCTGATAAGTGGTGAAGACTTGAGACTTTTTAGAAGGAATAACAGTGTTTCTTGGGATCAGCTTAGTCATCACTCCACCAACAGTTTCAATACCAAGAGTGAGTGGAGCCACATCCAGAAGAAGAATATCTGGTTAAATTCCAGAAGTTATTTGTCAGATATATGTTTTTCTCAAAACACTCCATCAAAGGGATAAAGAAGAAGCAATACCTTTGGTTTCATCACCTCCCTCGCCACTCAAAATTCCTCCTTGTACGGCTGCACCATAAGCAACTGCTTCATCAGGGTTAACACCCTTGTTGGGCTCCTTGCCATCAAAATAATCCTTCAAAAGCTGTTGAACTTTTGGAATCCTGGTACTTCCACCAACAAGGACAATTTCATCAATCTGGGTTTTCTCCAGCCCAGCATCATCCATAGCCTTCTTAACAGGTCCCATTGTCTTTCTGAATAAATCATTGTTTAGCTCCTCAAAACGTGCCCGAGTAAGTGGTTCAGAGAAATCCACACCATCGAAAAGAGATTCAATCTCAACCCTAACTTGGTGTTGACTGCTCAAAGCTCTCTTGGCACGCTCAGCTTCTCTTCTAAGCTTACCCAAGGCCCTGTTGTCCTTGCTGATGTCCTTTCCGTGCTTCTTCATAATCAATTTAATGAAGTACTCCATAATCCTCTGGTCAAAGTCCTCTCCTGCAATCAAGAAGCCATAAATGTGTTCAATGTGAATTGTGAACAAAGCTGATTTACACTCAGAGCTATTGAACTAGTTTACAACTTGAAATTCATCAACTAGCATAAATTTTCTCCAAGCTAATTCAGATAACGAAAGGAAAAAAAAATAACTAGTGGAATTTTTAGTATCACATCAATAAATGGGGAAAATATAGAAACCTAACAATAAAAAGTACAGCAATTTATAGAGTTAAGAAAAAGGGTGCTGACCTCCCAGGTGAGTGTCTCCATTTGTGGAAAGAACTTCAAAAACACCATTATCAATGGTGAGGATGCTAACATCAAATGTCCCACCACCAAGGTCAAAGACAAGGATGTTCTTTTCACCACCTTTCTTATCTAATCCATAGGCAATAGCTGCTGCAGTTGGCTCATTAATAATTCTGGCCACATTTAGTCCAGCGATTACACCTGCATCCTTAGTGGCCTGCCTCTGGGCATCATTAAAGTATGCTGCAGGATTTAAAGGAGAGGATGCATAAAAATCTCAGCAATGATATCACACAATAATTGGAGTAAAGCACAATCTATCCAGAGAAGGAGCTTTCAATGTTACCTGGAACAGTGACAACTGCATCCTTGATTTTCTTTCCGAGGTAAGCTTCAGCTGTTTCCTTCATCTTGGTCAGAATCATTGCACTGATCTCCTCAGGACTGAAGACCTTGGTCTCCCCATCTTTAATCTTAACTTGGATATATGGTTTACCATCCTTGTTAACAATCTTGTAAGGAACAAGTTTCATGTCCCTTTGTACTTCTTTGTCATCAAACCTATCAAATAGATAGGTTAGAGTCATTGATATTATATCACACAGACATTCAGACATATTATTTACAAAAAAAGACAATGCATTACTTTCTTCCGATAAGTCTTTTGACATCGAAGATGGTCCTCTCTGGGTTAACAGCGGCTAGATTCTTTGCTGCCTCACCAATCAGCCTCTCACCATCAGTGAAGGCAACCCATGAAGGGGTGATACGATTACCTTGGTCATTTGCTATAATTTCAACATGTCCATTCTTGTAAACACCAACACATGAGTAAGTTGTTCCAAGATCTATTCCAATAACTGTTCCCAACTTGGTAGCTTCTTCTGTGGCTATAGAAAATGCGAACAAGCACCCTGTAGAGAAACAAAACAACCAACTCAATACATTATTATGAGTTATGACTGTGAACATCTATAGTTATCACTTTTTTCCAGTTTAAGGGGCTAAACTACACCCTTTCCCCAAACAAAGGTCAAAGGAATATTCCAATGTTAGGACCAAATATAGCAATTTTTTTTCTTCTTAACGTCCTTCAGCGTCCCTTCATATCCAGGTGTCTCTTTCACATTTGTTTTTCAAAAATAGCATTGCTAGTCATTGCAATTTTTAACACATACGACAAATTTCTGTAGTGCTCCCCAGAGAGGAAGCTGGAAAGCTGAGAATAATAGAAATATCTCATTTAAAAGAGGTTTAAGAATATATCAGAAGGCATTGGAGGATTATTTTCGCAATCACACTTCTAGTAGTATAATAGGGTGGCTCTCGTATATGCATTTAATAAAACATGATTGCCCGCAAAAAGGAAAGGAATAGGAACTGAAAATTGAAACTCACTCAAACTTCATGATTTTTAACAATAAATGTATATATATATTTCCTTTTTTGTTTTTTTTATTAAGTAATCACGATGATCAGAAATCAACTGAATTAGGCATTCAGTCTCTTGTATCCAAGTGATTTCATACCACTACCCTCTGAACTAACAGACAGGTAGTAGATCTGAAGATTGCAGAATATGATGGCAAAAACTGACTATAGTCTAAACATCTAAAAGTAAATGACATTAATCTATTAACCTAATTGTCGGACAATTGAAACTATCATTGCTAAACATGTCTTGAGCTGCTCAAAACTCATTCAAATTCGAATTTTGCCGGTGAGATTTGCATCAACCCAGGAAGGTAAATATCAATTGAAGATAAGATTTGCATTGAAAAGCTTACCGAACAAGACGATCCCGAAGACGATCAAGGATGCACGTCTATTCCACGCACCACCAGCCATTGCTCCACGATCTGAACACGTTCCACTTATCAACTTTCTTAAAACACAGGCTAACAACTCCTCCTTCGCCTCTCTTCTTCGTTCTCTATGACGGTTATGGACACTTCAAATATCAACTAGAGAACCAGCATACATATATATATAAAGGGTTCGTCTTCCCTCAATTTTTTTTTGATGATGGTGTCATATCTGATGACGTGGACCAATCAGATGCAAGTAGGTGAGAGTGTGAGCCAATGAGCAGTTGCCACTTTGCTTTAAAACGAATTTAGAGGTAAAAAGAAGTGTAAGCATGTCATGGGAGATGACATGGACCAATCAGGAGAGGAGAGATGCCAATCAGCTTCTATTTTCTGTTGGAAAGATCTAAACCGTTGGTTTCACATATTGATTGGTCGGTGACATAGGAAGGGTTTTCAGGTAAACCACGTAAGCGCTTGGCATTTGGCGCCTAAAACCTTGCGTTGCTAGAGAGCAGAGGTGTGAATCGTTTGGTTCCGAGGTTATTTTCTAAAATTTGTACCATATAAATTTTTCGGTTATTCTATTATACATAACCAAAATTAGACTTTTCAAAATCGTCTCAATCATGTCGATTTCTCTTCGGTATCGGTACGGTTCGGTTAATTTTCGATATTTTTTTAAAATGTCATGTAAAAGTCACTAGTAGAAGTAGAATGCAATAACATATGTACTTTTATACGACTTATCAAACTCTCTAAAGGGTGATGAATTAAGAAAATATTAAAAATAGTCAGAGTATATATCCATCAACTATTCTACAACAGAGTAAAAGAAACTAAACAAAGATATTAACTGAGTGAAAATATATTAACCAAGTTAGAATTCAAGAATAAATTCTATAGAAGATTAAATATTCAAAAAGATAAATCTAAATCATATGAAAGGAATCATATTCAATACATTGTAGTTTGCTACTAATCGCTAGAATAGCTTGTGTCTTGCTAGTGAATATGTTGGAAATAATTTAGTTTCAATAGGAGTATCATTATAGGTTTGGGAATTAAGATTTTGAGCTTAATTACATATTTGCTTGTAACCGTTTTCACAATTCCATGGCCCAGGGAAAATTTTAATACATTATTATTTTTAAACTTAATATATAAATATATTTTTCACATGTAAATTTATTCGATACTGTTCGGTATTTTTTCGGTTTATTTTTATAAAATAAAAATCCTACCCTAATCATCGATACGATTATAGATTTATATAAAAACCTACGGTTTTATTAAAAGAAACTTAAAAAATCGGTTCGGTATGGTTCAGTTCGATCGATTTAGTCAATTTTTAAATATCCATTGACACCTCCCCTACTAGAAAGATCGTGAAAACTCATTCTTTCTTTTGCAAGTATTTTTTTTTTCAAAATACTCAAAAATTTCTATTTCTAAGATCAAATGCCCTTGTGTATAATGTGTTTCATTTATCTTGGAAAGAGGTCCAAATTTATTCCTAAACTTTCGCTTAATTTGTTAAAGTAAGCAACAAAATATCGTCGTTTTTATCCTTTCACATCATATTTGTCATTGTAGGCATATAAATTATATTAAAATTAAATCCATAAAATAATTTGAACTATATTTTAAATTTAAAATATATTGGTCCAAATAAATATTATGGGATAATATAATAATTGAATTAATTGTATAAGTCCAATATATATGGATTAAATAAATAAGTCTTAACCCATTGGGCTAACCCATTTAATTGGGCTAAAATGATGAACACACTTCATTAAACCCAAGAAGTCATCTTCCTAGAGGCCCAGTTTGGTGCCACGCGTCAAATGACGTGGCACGCCAAGTCAAATGGAAAAGCCAATAGGATTGTGCCACGTGTCAAAATGACAAGTCATGCCAAGTCAAATTAAAGGGCCAATGAAACCGCGCTACGTGTGCAAGTGACATGTTCTGGTCAATCAAATCTGGCATTGTCACACTTCGATTTGATTGGTCGAAAAGAGTTTGTTCTTATCATAACACTTCCATCCCACAACTATAAATAAGGGTCTTCATAACCCAGAAAAGACACCAGAAGTTATAACAAGAAGCAAGAGAGAGCTCGTGGATCAAACGCCGCAAATTTCTCTACAAGTTTCGAGCTTCAAGCAATCAAGTTCAAGCTCAAGAACGAAGAACAAATCAAGATTCATGGAGTACGAGTTCAAATCAAAGTTTGTGCTAGTTGAATTCAAGATCATCGTTCGCGACAACAAACTACATATTCAAGATCAAGCTCAAAGGCCCTTGAATTTATTTACTATTGGAAAGAAGAATCAGAGTATTCATAGAGATTGTACACTCATATTATTTGAAATCAAATACTACGATTGTTGCAATATTTTCGATCTTGATTTTATTTTCTCGACGCAAATTTATTGTCTACAAATTCTGGCATGCCCAGTGGGACAAATTCTACCTCTCATCTCAACTTTTCAATCACCAAAGTTCAAAAATGTCGAAATGACTTCAAAGAAAATCAACTCCAGATCAGTATCCACCAAGGCTGCTAACTCTAGGTTCTATGCTGATGTGGAAAGCATCCTTGGTGTTACCTTTGGAAGCTTTGGACCAGTTATGAGGAGTAAAGCAAGCTCTTTGGGACAACAAGCACTCCAAGTGTCGTCCGCATCAACCCTTATTTTGGATCTTCATCCTCAAAAAGAGCAAGATCCTCTACGAACGTATCCGAAGGAGGAAGCGATATTGCTGAAAAGATCAAGAAAACTCTAGCTCTGCTTGACCTCTCTGGATCCAAGAACTCTATTGTGAAGGAAGATAATGATATTTCAAGTGATGGATCTTCCCCATTTACACCGCATAGCGTGAGCCATTTGAGAATCAATCTGTGTGACAATCCATGATACTCCCCATCATCTACAACAATCATGCAAGCCATAGTGACAAATACTTCATCTGTTGGCAAACTTGACGGAAGCAATCGCTGGCTTGACCAAGTGCATGCAAAATCAAGATGATAGAATTGACAAGCTAACAGACAGAGTGGGAATCTTGATGGAAGAAGAATCCACCCATGCACCTGGCAAACTCCCAAAAGTTCAAGAGATTGATCCTCCCCCAGGATAAGTTACATCCACTAAGGAAATTCCAGTCTCTTCGGAAGGGATGATTCCAATCAATCAACTAAAGGAGTTCATTGAAGGGACTATAAAAAAAATTATGAAATTTCTTCCAAGTCCTCCTTTACCTACGCAAAGTCGTACACTTCAAGGATCGATATGTTGAAGATGCATGTTGGCTATCAACCTCCAAAATTTCAACAGTTTGATGGCAAAGGCAATCCAAAGAAACATGTGGCGCACTTAGTTGAGACATGCAACAATGGTGGGACTTATGGAGATCACCTCGTCAAGCAGTTTGTACGCTCATTAAAAGGAAATGCTTTTGATTGGTACACAGACCTCGAGGTTGAATCTGTTGATAGCTGGGATCAACTAGAGCAAGAATTCCTCAATTACTTTTATAGCACGAGACGTACTGTGAGTATGATAGAACTTAAAAATACTCGTCAACGAAAGGGTGAACCAGTTATCGACTTTATCAATCGTTGGAGGAATGCAAGCCTCAAATGCAAAGATAGGCTTAGTGAAGCTTCGGGCATAGAGATGTGCATCCAAGGCATGCATTGGGGACTCCGCTACATCTTGCAAGGTATCAAGCCTACCATATTTGAAGAACTTATGACTCGTGCCCATGAGATGGAGTTAAGCATGGCCTCTGCTGGAAACAAAAGGCTGCCTATCTATGAGCCTCGCAAAGGGAACGACAAGCAAGAAGTCAAGAAATGGAGCAAGTTTGTGCCCAAGTCTGAAAACAAAGAAGCTATGAATGTCAACACATCACCTGTGAAGTTCACAATGAAGGTGAGCAAGAAGCAGAGTACGAAATCCACTTCTTTTCAAGATAAACCAAGTGGAAAATTGACTCTAAAATAAATGCAAGAGAAGGAGTACCCATTTCTGGATTCTGATGTGCCAGCGATTTTTGAAGAACTCCTCGAGTTAAATCTCATTGAGCTTCCGGAGTTGAAACAGCCAAATAAAGCTGGTAAAATTAATGACCCAAATTACTGCAAATACCATCGACTCGTGAGCCACCCTCTCGAGAAGTGCTTTGTCTTCAAGGACAAAGTTATGGACTTGGCCCGTGAAAAGAAGATTGTGCTTGAACATGAGAAGGCAAGTGTCACGACCCAAATCGTTGGGACGCGACGGGCACTCGGTACCTTACTCAACTGAGTACCAATATAATGTATCTTCCTTATCGTACTATTATTGATAAATAGGCCAAACGATTGTCATGAAATAACTAGAATGAAATGTGAGGGAACACTCGTCGTAGGACGACCCAACATGTAATACCAACTTATGCATATGACATATGGTATAAGGCCAAAATGATCACTCGTATACTAAACAATGATATACAATCTTTCACGTACATGACATATGTCTACAAGCCTCTAAAAGTACATAAATGTCATAAGGCCGGGACAGGGCCCTAACATACCAATCAATACGTGTCTGATACATACTGACCAAATAGGCAACTCCGGAGCAAATGGAGCGCACTAACATATTCCGTTGAGCTGATCACCTACTTGGAGGATTCTTGACCTGTTTATCGAGACCTGCGGGCATGAAATGCAGCATCCCCAGGCAAAAGGGGCGTCAATACAAATAATGTACCGAGTATGTAAGGAATGAAAATCAGTAAGTAATAGACATGAGAGAAACATGGAGTAAAAGACTCGACATGAAAGTCTGAATAGCTATGTGAATCATTCAATACTTATAATGTCATGCATATGAGTATAAATGTCATACCATGCATGGGTCTATGCGTTCATAACATCATCAAGCCTCTGAGGGCATCCCATCATATCATTTCGGCCACTGTGGGAAAATCATCAACGTATACCAGCTGATCAGGTGGCGGTGCGTATATAATGCCGTAACCTTTTCTCATATCCCATATACATATATATACATATATACGTGTATATAATGCCATCTAGTCATGAGTCAATGTACATGTATAAATGAATACAATGCATGAGAAGTACATTA